CAGCATTTTCCAGGGAAGGAAGGAGGCCATGAGCCATTACCCCTGGCAAACAGTCTCACGAAGGTGACAAACAAATTCCTGCCCTCGTGGGCTTCAGGGAGCTCTTCACTTCCCTGAGAAGAAGGGCCTGAGGTCTCTTGGATGCCTTGCCCTGTGGTCTGGTGTCCCTGTTCTCCATCTTAGAGGGCCCAGCTTTGGGTCCATTCTGTATTATTTGCCACCAGAAAAACAAACACATGAAGAAAAATAGCAGCTGACCTTTGGGGAGCCCTTCTCATGGACCAGCAACAAAGCCCAAAGTCTTAGTTCATTTAATATTCATAATGACTCTATAAAGTAGAAATCTTTAGAATCCCCATGAAATCTAAGAGGAAAACCAAAGTTGGAAGAACGTTAAGTAACTTGCTCTGGTTCAGACAATTAGAAATGTGGACAGATGCGCTCTGTGGTCATTCTGGGGCTGGTGCTCGCCTCAGCTACCTGCCCAGGGTCTGAGCACTCAGCCAAGTCTACATCCTCTGCCAGGGCTAGAAGCCACCTGACCCTTCGCAATGCCAGGTCACCGGGGGTGTTTCCAAAGCCTAGCTGTGCAGCTCTTTGCTCTCCCAGAGGCTGCTGGGTAATTGGCTAATATGATTTCCCAAACTGGGTGCCCATGGAATACTAGATTCTTCTGACACCTGAATAAAGATGTTTCACACCTAATATTGAGTAGTGGACTGGACTTGCTTTTTCCAAATTTCCAAGAGAACTTTGCAAAACCATAGTATGTCCTCTCAATTGTTGATTTTTCTTCCATGATTTTCTTTTTACTCCTTTGGCGCTCCCTCCTGCTCACCAGATGGCTGGTGATGGTCCCAACGAAACTGGACAAGTAGCAAGCAAATGAGTACTGACAGAAAAACTTGGAGATGTGAGATCTTTAATGTAGTACATATTATGTCTTGGCATGTAGCTATATATGAAATACTTGTATACTTTCTGCTAGTAAGGTAGTTCCTTGTTTGCAATGACAAAATTAAAGCTCTGTCTGTTAGTGTTCATGGCTTGCAGGTGTTCTGCCAATGAAACTTTTCCAGACGAGGGGATATTCAAGACTAGACTGGGCAGAGCTAAGTGATTCTAATAGGAACAGCTAGTATTTATTTTATTTTTTACTACATTCCAGGCACTGTCCTGGAACTTTTGATCTCACGGAAACCTCACAATGACCCTAGAAGGTAGATGCTCTTATTATACCCTTATCACAGATGAGGAAACTGAGGCTTGAGAGATTAAGTACTTGCTAAAGTCACACAGTTTAAAGCCAGTGGAGATGAACATTGAAGGGCCCCAGTGTGACCCTAGGGCAGTGATTCTTACTCTCCAGGCTGAAGAGGAAATAAGGAAGAAGAAAGGGAGGAAAGGGAGGAAGAATATAGAGATTTGGCAGGGGGTGAGGGTGGAGGGGGCTTTCTCCTTACTGGGGGGTTGCCTCTCTCTCTTGTCATGAAGCTAGTGCACAATAGCTGTATGGAATATGAAGAGAACTGGATCAGGACTCAAAAGGCAGCTGAGTTGCCCATCAAAATTCTGTCTGCCACGCAGTGTTGAGGTTCAAACAAGATAAATGGGAAAAAGGCTTTGAAGGTGACTTGTGCACCTGTGATTTGCTAGAGGGCAACATGTCCTGGTGGGTTGGTCCCAGCAGGCCTGGGGTAGGAAGGCAGACATAGGAGCTGATCTGGCCCTTGGCAGAGCCCTTAGCCCATACAGGAACCTGTTCTTCCCAACCTCAGGCTATGTGGGTTGGCTGAGTTTAAGTCCGCAGGTAGTGATTTTACAAGGGCAAATCCTGTACAGTCACCTTTGCCCTGGCCTAATTCTGCTCTTTACCTGCCTTGCTCACTGCCTTCCCTCTCTGGCAGGGGAGAATCCAGGCAGGAACAGGACCCCAATCTCCGTTGTAATGCCTGTGGGCGAGGTGTCCTGGAAAGAGATTGTCCAGGCAGAAGAAAGGCCTCTTGGTCTTATATAACCAGTATTGAATGCTGGGTGCTGATTCCCAATAATCCATACCTCTGCCTGCTTAATCACAGCTCCCCCGGGAGCAACAGCAGGGGAGGCGGTGGGGGGGGCACATGCACAAGCATTCACAATAGCAGCCACACGGAGGAAAACTGATTCCCTCCACCCGCCCCCTTCCCCCACCTCTCTTCATTTATGAATTCAGTTTTTTGTCAGGCTGAACATTCAAATGCACTCAATGCTCTGGATTCCCCCCATTTCTCCCCCTTTCTCATTAAAATTCTAATTATTACCAGAGCAAGTAAGATGTATGATCAAAGGAAAGCAAAGTCTAGAAATACCTTTTTGTTTTAAGGTGACTCACACTGTAGATAATGCCTGCAGAAGAGCTGTAAGTGAGAGCAGATGTGAGGGGCCTCCAGATGCCCGGATATTTAGAATAAGGACCCGTATATCTGTGGAAGCTTTCCTCGTGAGCCCCAGGGGCATAAGGGCCTACAGAAACAGTCTCCAAACCATTTAGATAATGAACTCATAACAGCACAAATTATTCGATTTAATGCCTCTGATATATATCTGTTGCCGTGTTACATACCCAGGTGGGTCGTATTGCCATTCCACGGCTTACCAGCCATAGGACCCCGGGACAATCTCATCCTCTGTGCCTCACCTTCCTCATCCACGAAATGCAAATAATAATCACGCCTCTTTCACTGGAGAGTATTAAACGAGCGAATGCATAAAAAGCACTTTACCTCAGACCTCGTAATGTTCAAAACTTAACTAAGTCCAAAAATAAAATGCTCTCATTTCTATTGCTACCAACTGGTATATTACAATTCTCATTTATTGTTTTTAAGATAATAGATAAATACAAAAGCAATCTGATATTTTTCCTCTTGTGCCCCCAGGATGCATGGATACCATACCAGAGACCTTTAGTTTAGAAGTGAGCTTAGGGTCGGCTTTCCAGATCCCTGGCAGTCTCTGGGTCAGGTGCTAATCCCACCCAGCTCCTTTGGCCAGGGAGAGGCTCTGATGTCTCTGTGCAGGGGCCTGGAGTTGCGGTGGGTGGCTGTGATAGTTTATCCAGGCCGTACCCTACAGTCAGGGAGTCAGAGGCGGTGCTAGCTCCCCAGAGAGGGTAGCTGACATTCTCACTGCCTTCCCAGGTTCCTCTGGATGGGGGACCGATTTCCCTGGTGACTGTATGCTATGAGAGTACTTTGGATTCCCCCCCGGGGGAGCTTGGCATCTCGGTACTGCAAGCCTAGCTTAGCACCTGGTACCCGCAGGTTCTCAGTAAATGCGGTTAAGAGATAATTATAGCTCTTTCATGTGCCATTCATTCATTCATTCATTCACTCATTCGTTCTCATGGGCCAGTTTCTGTGCTAGGCCCTAAGTCAGACAAATATAAAAACACAGGGTTACAATAGCCTACAGTTGAATCAGGAACAAACAGGGTTGAATAGTGGAAGGGCCCCCAGCCTGGGCGGTGGACATCCGGACCCTGGTCCAGGCTCTTAGTCTGACCTGTGACCCCAAGCAAGTCCCTTCTCTGGACCACTTCCCCCATCTGCAAAAGCACAGCCTGACCTCAGTACTTGTAGGGTCATTTCTCACCTTAAATCCTAAGATTCCTGGGGGCACTGGGCCAGGATAATCCAGACCCTGCAAACCCACAGGCCTGCAGGGGCCACGCAGGTCACAGGGAGACTGGTGAGGACACACCCCTCCAAAGGGAGCCCAGGAGCCCAGGTCCAGTGACCAAGGCATCTAGCCTCTTCCAGAGTTTCCAGAAATTTGGTGTGATGGTGATGGTAGTGGTGGAATTTCTCAAATTTTCCATTGTCACCCTAGCCATGCAAGACTCCTCCTTTGGCTTGATCTTGTGCAAACCCTGGCATGTGTGCCATTGGTTTGGAGCCTTCTGACCTCTCAGAGGGAGAAGCAGCTTTGGGATCTAAGGATCACTCCAGAAGAGGGGTGGGGGGGTTCTTTGCTTAATGACTTAATCATTAAGCAGACCTCTGCTTAATCATTTCTTCCAGAGGGAGGCATCCCCCACGGCTCTCCTGGGATCCCGGGAATCCTGCTGGGGGGCAGGGGTGGGATGGGGGCAAGGCAGTGAGCACCCACCTCTGCACCAACCACAACATTCAAAAATATCAGCTTTACAGCAAAGCTCTCAACTGGCCATGGGAATGGGAAAAGCCGGCTACAGGAATCACTTGTATGTAGCTTGGAAATAAGCTGTGTGGCTCCAGTTCCAACTTCATCCAAGTATTTACTGAGCCTACTGTGTGCAGAGTTGAGAGTCCCAAAGAAGCCTGAGACCTAACACCTGCCTCTCATCGACTTCAAGTCAGCCCGTGTTCCTTGAGCTCCGCCTCTGGGCCCCACGGTGGGGTGGGGGTGGGGGTACCGTTAGAGATGGAGTTGGCAGAGCCTCTGGTCCCCAAGGCCACACAGCCTGTTGAGGAAGAGAGCTGTATACAAAAAATGACTCTGCTCTCAGTCTGGCCTTAGTAACAGCTCTAATAGAAATTCAAACAGCATCCGCATGTGAACGCTTCACGAATTTGGACATTTGCTTAGGCTGCTATTTAAATTACTTTCCCTTCCCAGTGCACATGCCACATGCCACGACAGGCAGTAGGGGCGGCAAGGGAGGAGGCCCAGGTGCTCCCCGGGCTGGCAGCGGGGGAGGGGGGAAGGGGGAGGGTCAGGGGAAGGGGGGAGAAGAGGGAGGGTGCAGGTTGGGGGGATCAGCGGAGGCCCGTGCCAGGCTGCAGACATCTCACAAAGTGGATGGCGGAGCACCACCCCGAAAACCACCTCTCCTCTGGCGGGCAACTTTCTCATGAGCGTTCTTTTCTCTTCTCCCGTCTTTGTCCCTTCTGTGTGCCCCCCTCTGCTGACACCCTCTCTTGCTTCTGCCCACCTCTGTCTGTCTCCGTCCCTCCCTGCCTGGCTCACACCGAGGGCAGGCACCTCTGTCAGCCTCCTCGCCGTGGTAGTGATTGTGTGTGGCGTGGCCCTGGTGGCAGTTTTTCTCTTTCTCTTTTGGAAGCTGTGCTGGACGCGCTGGAGGGGCAAGGAGGCCTCCAGTCCCACTTCTGCTAACCCTCCCCCGGAGGCCCTCCAGGGCCCCAGCTCCAGAGGCAACATGGCAGACAAGCTGAAGGACAGCAGCACCCTGGGCTTCCTGGAGGCGGCTGTGAAGATCAGCCACACGTCCCCGGATATCCCGGCCGAGGTGCAGATGTCAGTCAAGGAGCACATCATGCGTCACGCACGACTGCAGCGACAGACCACGGAGCCAGCGTCATCTACCAGGTGAGTGCGGACCTCTCCCCTCCCTCACCCCCACGCCTCCACATTCTCTGACTTGAGACATTAATGAGATTCCAGCCTGTGAGGAGCAGAGGCCAGAAATAATAACACATGTCCTCTGATTGGAGACTGTAACAGGTGATGGACAATGTGGTGGGTAACCAACTGGGAGGTGGGTACCAGGAAAGACTGCAGGAGAGGGGAACCTTGAGGTGGGGCACTGTGCTCCGGGGCGTGCATGGGGATGTGCATGGGTGGGAGGTGGGTGGGGGGGTTGGAGGTAAGGAAAGATTGCAGGCAGAGGGCAGAGAATATGCAAAGGCCCAGGGGCATAAAAGTTCATGGTGTGTCTAGGGATATTCCAGTAAAGCCTTGTCGATGGAATATAAGACAAGAGGTTCCTAACATTTTGAGAATGAGGATTCCTTTATAACCTTTGACACAGTCCCCTGCCAGACCGCAGCTATATCCATGGCATTCTTTAACCGAGAAAACCCAAAACAACTCCCACCACATAGTAACAAACAACCTACTCTAAATTCAGAAACAGAAGTGGTGGCGTATTTATTCAAACCTAGGGCTCTGGCTGGCTCCTGGGTCCCTGTAACGTCTCCCCAGGCTCCCGGGGGACCAGCCAAAGGGAAGAAGACCAGGTCTTCAGCTGTGAGTTCAGGAATGAACGTGCTGGGGGTCACATTTTCAGAATTTATCATATGACCTTGGGCAAGTTGCTCACTTTTCCTAGGCCTCACTTTTCCCAAGTATAAAATAGGGCTAATGACTCGTAAGGTTGCCATGAGGAGCCAAGGAAGGAATCCATCAGAGCTGGATTCTTTGACAATCTGGAGCCGACGTGGTTTCACTTCCTATACACCTGTTCTAAGTGCTTTTTATGTGTATGAATCTGGTTCCTCCTCACAGCAATCCTGTGCGATTGTTACTTTTACTAACCTCATTTTGTCAAGCAAGTCCCTTCTCTGGACCACTTCTCCCATCTGCAAAAGCACAGCCCGACCTCAGTACTTGTAGGGTCATTTCTCACCTTAAATCCTAAGATTCCTGGGGGCACTGGGCCAGGATAATAGGGAAGTTAAATAAGTTGACCAATGTCCCATAGCCAGACAGTGGCAGAGCCAATATTAACCTACACAGTCTGACTCCCAAGCCCAATCACTGTTAACTCCGGTGTCCGTGGTAGAGCTGGTGAGGATGACGAAGGGACAGACACAGCCAGGGTAAGAAAGGATGGTCCTTCCCCTAAGGAATCTCATGGTTTCATGAGGGGAACCAGAGTTACATCTACTAGGAAGAAACCCAGAAAGTAAGAAAAAAAATGGCAGCAAAGGCTACCATTGAATTGAACTTAATATATACCAGGCCCCATTCCAACTCCCTTCCGTGGACTTGAAATGCTCACAACCACCTGCGCACAAAGTGTGTGCAGACAGACAGAGGGTCGGCGAGCAGGAGGAAAAGGGCCCACAAAGGGTAGGATGAGCCAGGGTGGCCGGCAGGTGTCGGCCTGCACGACCCTCCCCCAGAGCCCTGACCACCCTCTCCCTGCCCTCTCCTCCCAACCCCCTGCCAGGCACACGTCCTTCAAGCGCCACCTGCCACGGCAGATGCACGTCTCCAGTGTGGACTACGGCAACGAGCTGCCGCTGGCGGCAGAGCAGCCCACCAGCATTGGCCGAATCAAGCCTGAACTCTACAAGCAGAAGTCGGTGGACGGGGACGATGCCAAGTCCGAGGCCACCAAGAGCTGCGGGAAAATCAACTTCAGCCTGCGCTACGACTACGAGAGCGAGACCTTGATCGTGCGCATCCTGAAGGCCTTCGACCTCCCTGCCAAGGACTTCTGTGGCAGCTCTGACCCCTACGTCAAGATCTACCTCCTGCCTGATCGCAAGTGCAAGCTGCAGACCCGGGTGCACCGCAAGACCCTGAACCCCACCTTTGATGAGAACTTCCACTTCCCTGTGCCCTACGAGGAGCTGGCCGACCGCAAGCTACATCTCAGTGTCTTCGACTTCGATCGCTTCTCCCGCCATGACATGATCGGAGAGGTCATCCTAGACAACCTCTTTGAGGTCTCCGACCTGTCCCGGGAAACCTCCATCTGGAAGGACATCCAGTACGCCACAAGTGTGAGTATAGCCTTGCCTCCTGGGCTTCTGGAGGGTTTCTAGGGTTGGGTTGAGTGGGCTGTGTCCCTATCCTCCTCCATCCTAGAGACAAGTGGGCCTTTGCCCTTTGGAATGTGAAGGGGGACTCTGGGAACGGACCAGTGGCTCCGCCCGCCCTGGGAAGGTCCTTGCACACTGCCCCACATTGGGGTGTGGGTTGGCAACGAAGAGAATTTTTGTCCATTGCTTCTGATTACACGTTCTGGGGTGGTTCCCTCCACCTGCTCGGCCTCAGGTCTACCGCCTATAAAATAAAGCTATCTAGCTCTTTGATCATGGGAGAGGATTGGGCAGGTCTCTAGACTGAATCAGACAGCAGCATCTGCCAACTGCACTGATGTGTACTAGAAGCCTGGAAAAGGCAATTAAGAATAGGGCATGTTAATCAGGACGAATGAGGTTATGTTGCAGCAACAAATAATCCTAGGATTTGGTAGCTTAGAGCAACGAAGATCTAGTTCTTGTTCACGCTGTCCATGCTTCGCAGCACGGCTGGGCGTTCTATGTTACCTTGTGACCCAGGGGTCTGAGCAGATAGGGGTTCCATTTGGACATGTGCTCCCCTAGTTACCACATCGGGAGAAAGGGGATGTGGGGAATCACGTACTATTTCTCAAAGCTTCCACAACGAAAAGATATATATGTTACTTCTACCCACGTTTCGTTAGCCATAGCAAGACACATGGCACCTCAGGAGGGCAGGGCAAAGAAATCCTACCATGTGCCCGTAAGGGGAACTGGAAGCACTCAATGACCGACACTAGTGACTACCACACAGCCATTCCCTGCCCAGGCCAGCCCAGAGGACACCTGGCTGATGCACGCGTGGGACAGAGGCGCTGGGCTGCTTACGATCCACTGCAGTTCACCAGGGAAGGTCTCAAGGAGCTGAGGCTCAGACTGGCTTTTTGGAGGGAGGACAGGTTTGGCACAGAGAATGAAGAGGGCATATCTGGAGCCCTTTAGTCCAGTGTAGCTCCCACAGGTGTGGGGGATCCTCTCTCTAAGCCCATCCAGGCAGCTGAGAGCACAGCATGGGTGTTCCCATCAGACACCAATGGCTTGTGTCTGGGGTCTTGAGTGCTAACTGGTTGAGCCCCCCCGGATACTTCTTGCACTGTTTCTCTGGGGTGGGGCTCACCCCACTCAGTCTGCAGGCCCTCCTTCTGAACAGTCCGTTCTCAAGGTCTCCATGTTGAATCTGTGAGGATAGAGACCGGGAAAATCATCCCCCCTGCTCTGATGGGAAAGCTGTAAGAAACTTGATTTGTTCAAAGCTTGGTGGGCTCTGTTTCTGCCCCAGGGTGGGTCTCGGGGACACCCCATTCTCCAAGCTGGGGTTGACTTTGACCAATTCAGTCCCAGTGCCTCCCCTGCCTTTGCTTCCGGGAAACCCCTAAGAACAGGACCAGCCGCAGGGCCAGGCAGACGGGGTGGGTGGACGGGGCAGGCTGGCGCAGCAGCTGTGCGCCGGCCCAGGCCCAAGAGCTCTGCTCTATAAATCACTGTGAAGTTTACATCTGGTGCAGCTCTTCCCTTGTGGTCTCCTTGGGCAGCAGCTTCGTTATGGTGGCTGCACAGGTAGAGAAAAGCAGCTCGGTCCTCCCCACGTGAAGGTCGAGGCCCAGGGCCTCTGAGAGTGGGAAGGGGTGAGGCCGGGGGCTAGGGAAGCAGAGCTTGCCTCAGACTCTGAGGATTCCCCTCCCTCTCCTGCAACCTTAGCTGTGGGCGTGATGGAAGACCCAGGCCTGCACTGGACAGTCTGTGCCTAAGCGCGCTTAGGAGGCCAGCTTCCTAGGCCCTAGAAGGATGTGGCTGTCCCTGTCCTTGTCCCATCCCCTTTCCCCAGCCCAGCAGGTCATCCAAAAGGTGTTGGACACTTTGTCACCACCCTCATCATCCTCAGTTAGTTCTGTTCTAGTCCTCTTCCCTGTCCTCTGAGCAGAACACTGTGACCCGCAATGAGGAGTGAGCAGGACTGGGATAAAAGACAGCCTCTTTGATCCACAGAAAATTAGAATCGAATTCCAGAGACAAGAGACATCCATGCAGGAGCTGGTAATGCTAAGTAGTGAACAGTGTGTACTGTGTGAGGTTGCTTTCGGAGTTAGGACAGCGCTGGAATTTTCCCTGGATGGGGAGGGGCGGTATATATGGCGAGACAGAGGGAGGGCTAGCATCCTAGCCCGGAGCACAGGGAGGCTGGGCCCAGGAGTTTCTGAAGGGGAAGAGCAGGTGACTGTGCTCACACACTCTGTCTTGCTTGCAGTCTGTCTGAGCTGATGTTCTGCCAACAGAGGCCCCTAGGGCCCTCCGGTCCGCAGCTCTTCCCATGGGCTGGCTTATCCTCCTGGTGGACGAGGAATCAGGCAGAGGAGGGGAAAGGGAAGTAAGAAGATGGGGGCTCTTACTTGTTTTTTGGTGCTGACTCTGAAATTATAGTTATTTGGGGGTCAGAGAGGCCCAAGTCATAGTCCCTGAGAATGATAAGCAGTGAGTGCGTGTGAAATCCTGCGGCCACCGTGGTGGAGGTGGTATGGATGAGCACGGGCTCCCATCTGTCCTCGTGCTAGATTCCACTTCTAGGGCTGCATATGGGCCTCACTGAGCTCGGAACTCAGGCAGCTCCTCTGTCCTGCAGCCTGGTCCCCCGAGCGTCCCCGACATTCCTGCCCTCTGCCTATGCTCACAGGCTTCCCTCTGTGACTCAGGCCTTTCCCCACTGCCCTGCCTGACTCAGACTGGTCCCCCTTTCAAAGTTCCCTGAGCCCTCCTGCTCTTAGAGGAATCTCTCCTCTGGATTTATTCCTGGGTCCCTCAGTTATACCCCGAATCATCTTCAGACTTGCAAAGTCCTCCCAATGGCTCGGGAATGCCTTTGGTCCCACATTTGACTTTCTCTTGTATTTTTCCTCTGGGCTGAGTGTGTCATTTTAAGCAAATGTAAGAACTCAGCACATTTTTGTAGAATGGCCCACAGCTTCGTTAATTCAAGTAAAAAACTATATACTGGTACACGAAGGATGATTAAAGAAGCGGGGGGAATGGGGTGTGGTTATAACCTGGGAAGGCTTCCCAGAGGAGAAGGTCAAACCGTATTTTGAAAATGGGTAGAGTCAGGCTTGGTAGGGAGAGACGCAGCCTGTGCGTTCCTTCCGAGATATGGTTCAGGTGGACGTTTTTTGTCTGGAGCGGTAAATTGATTCACTAGTTGGATCAGACAGTCTGGACGGAAGCGGAGGGTCAGTGATGCACAGGCTAAGGAAAAGGAGAGGAATTGTGAGAAACGGGGGCTTAGCAGGCTGCTTGGAGGTCACACGAGTCCATGAATGCTGTTCCCTTGTTGGTCCTTCTGCTTATCTTGGAGCATTACCCTCAGCCCCGGTGTGGGGGAACTGGGTTTGTGCCTTATTTTGGCCCCAGCACCATGGCTCAAGTTGGTTTCAAGTAGCAAAGCCTGGAGCATCTGTTGAATGAATTAGGGGCTTCCAGGCTAGTGAAGGAGAGGTGGGCATCCGGGGAGTCTAGCTCTTGGTTAATTGCAAATTTTAAGCCACAAGGGACATTGGCCTCATTCCCCACCCCCACCCCCCGGTTGTTCTGGAAGAAAGCCTGGAGGGAGCAGTGGAGGTAGTATATACCACCCCCAAAACCAGGCTGAGGGTGAGGAGCAGGCAACTTGGATGTGTTAGAGACATTGGAGGCCTCTTCTGATCCGCAGGGTCCAGGATCTCCGAGTGGGAAGGAATCACAGCAGTTCATTACATCCACTCCGGCCCCGGCCCCGGCCCGGGCTGCCCCTCATGCTCTTGCTGCCCCTAAGCCGCCTGGCTTGACTGAGAACCGCTGATGGTCTCCTGGGCATTCCCAGCGGCTTGCCATTTTCCCTCCCCCTAGAACTTTGATTGGCTGAAAGCCCCCTGCTCTTCCCTCCCCCGTCTTCTGCCCCCAGTCTCATTATTTCTATATAAAGCTATAGATTTATCATTATAATAGAGCCGCTGTCCCCGGGGTTTGCTAACGTCTCTGTAATCTTGTGGTTATTGCTACAGGGGCCTCAGACCCCACTGCACACAACTATTCCTGTTGCTGTTCCTGCTTCTTGGCGGCGGGGGGTGGGGGGGGTGACGGCTGTAATTGGGGCCATAAATATGTGTTGTGCTTGGGGTGTTAATGGACTTGGCCATCTTCCTGCCTTAGCAGGTCCCCGCCAGGTTGGAGCGAGCAAGAACGGGTGTGTGTGTATGTGCGTGTGTGTGTGTGCATGCGTTGTTTTGGGGTGCTGGTGGGCTTTGTGCACTCCAGGGGGCCCGGATCCAGTGTCTGCAGGAAGGAAGAGAGGCCTAATAGAACGGGAATTCCAGCCTGGGAATGAGCAGGGCTGGACAGAAAGGCTCTGGCTTTGGTGCTCCCAGACCTGTGTTGTATTCTAGCTTCTCCTCTTTCTAGCTCTTAGACCTTGGCGACGTTATCTACACAGTGCCTCAGTTTCCCTATCAGCACAACAGGGATCATAATGGGTAGCATAGCTTGTGGGAGTAGTAAATGTAGAAAACTAAAGTAACACACATGAGATGCCTAAGTGGGCAGTGTCACAGAGCGGCCTCCCAGGCCCCATTCTCACAGTGACTCTCCTTCTGGCCCAGCTTGTGGGCCGCTGTGTGTGCCACTCTCAGACCTGACCCCCACTTTGGTCCCAACCACCCATTCTGGCACACTGTTGGGTGTTCTTATTAGTTTAGTTCTTGTCCTAGCCATGCCCTGTGTTTTCTGTGTGACCTTGGGAAAGTGACTTGTCCTCTCTGAGCTGCAGTTTACTGAGTGTTAAACCAGCTTCAAAATTCTGAGATTCTAAGACTCCTGGCTTCTCTTGAAGAGAAGTGCTTGGTTCCCTTGCTTCCAGGGCAGAGCTACCCAGGCCCTGGGAGTGTGGTCCATAAGTTAGTAGGCCACTTGGCAGA